TGTGCTTCACATATATTGCATTTTTTACAAATTGAAGGTCTGAGGCAACCCTGCATCTAGCAAGTCTATTGGTACCATTTCTTTCTAATAGTATTTGCTCACTTCATGTCTCTGTATCACATTTTGGTAATTCTCCAAATATTTCAAACTTTTTCATTATTATCATATTTCTTATGGCAATCTGTAATTAGTAATCTTTGATGTTATCATTGTAATTTGTTGGAACACCACAAACCACGCTCACATAAGATGTGGAACTTAATGGATAACTGTTGCTTGTCCACCGACCAGCTGTTTCCCTGTCTCTCTCCTTCTCCTCAGGCCTCCCTATTCCCTGAGACATGACAATATTAAAATTAGGCCAAGTAATAACCCTACAATGGCCTCTAAGTAAAAGGAACAGTCATACATTTCTCACTTTAAATCAAAAGCTAGAAATGACTAGGCTTCGTGAGGAAGCCCTGTTGAAAGCCAAGACAGGCTGAAAGCTAAGTCTCATGCACAAGTTGTGAACGTAAACATTCTTTTTTTTTTTTTTTTTTTTTTTTTTTTTTTGGTTCGGGGGGCTCTCACTTTCGTGGCCTCTCCCGTTGCGGAGCACAGGCTCCGGACGCGCAGGCTCAGCGGCCATGGCTCACGGGCCCAGCCGCTCCTTGGCATGTGGGATCCTCCCGGACCGGGGAACGAACCCGCGTCCCCTGCAACGGCAGGCGGACTCCCAATCACTGCACCACCGGGGAAGCCCTGTAAACACTCCTGAAGGAAATTAAAAGTGCTATTCCAGTGAACACATGAATGATAAGAAAGCAAAACAGCCTTCTCACCGTTAGGGAAAATGTTTTAGTGGTCTGGATAGAAGATCAAACCAGCCACGATATTCCCTTAAGCCAAAGCCTAATCCAGAGCATTAACCCTCTTCAATTCTATGAAGGCTGAGAGAGGTCAGGAAGCTGCAGAAGAGAAGTATGAATCAAGCAGAGGTTGGTTCATGAGGTTTAAGGAACGAAGCTGTCTCCATCATATAAAAGTATAAGGTGAAGCAGCAAGTCCCTGATATAGAAGCTGCAGCAAGTTATCCAGAAGATCTAGCTAAGATAATTAATGAAGGTGGCAACACTAAACAGATTTTTAGTGTAGACAAAACAGTCTTATATTGGAAGAAGATGCCATCTAGGACTTTCACAGCTAGAGAGGAGGAGTCAATGCTTGGCTTCAAAGCTTCAAAGGACAGGCTGACTGTCTTGTTAGGAAGAGAAGTTGAAACCAATGCTCATTTACCATTCCAAAAATCCTACGGCCCTCAAGAATTATGCTAAATCTACTCTGCCTGTGCTCTATCAGTGGAACAACAAAGCCTGGATGACAGCACATCTATTTACAACATAGTTTACTGAATATTTTAAGCCAACTGTTGAGACCTGCTGCCCAGAAAAAAAGACTCCTTTCAAAAGATTACTGTTCATTGACAAAGCACCTGGTCATCCAAGAGCTCTGATGGAGGTGTACTATGAGATTAGTGTTGTTTTCATGACTGCTAACAAAACACCCATTCTGCAGTCCATAGATCAAGGAATTATTTCAACTTTTAAGTCTTATTATTTAAGAAATATATCTTGTAAGGCTATAGCTGCCATACATAGTGATTTCTCTGATAGATCTGGGTAAAGTAAATTGAAAGCTTTCTGGAAAGGATTCACCATTCTAGATACCTTTAAGAACATTCATGATTCATGGGAAGAGGTCAGAATATCAACATTCACTAGAGTTTGGCAGAAGTTGATTCCAACCCTCATGGATGACTTTGAGGGGTTCAAGACTTCAGTAGAGGAAGTAACTGCAGATGTGAAATAGAATTAGAAGTGGAGTCTGAAGGTGTGACTGAATTGCTGCAATCTCACGGTAAAACCCTTAACATGAGGAGTTGCTTCTTATATATGAACAAAGAAAGTGGTTTTTTGAGATGGAATCTACTCCTGGTGAAGATGCTGTGAAGACTGTTGAAATGACAGTAAACGATTTAGAATTTTACATAAACTTTGTTCATAAAGCGGCAGCAGGGCTGGAGAGGACAGACTCTAATTTTGAAAGCTCTACTGTGGGTAAGATGTTATCAAACAGGATTGCATGCTACAGAGAAATCATTTGTGAAAGGAAGAGTTAATCAGTGTGGCAAACTTCACTGTTGTCTTATTTAAGAAATTACCCCAGCGGGCTTCCCTGGTGGCACAGTGGTTGAGAGTCCGCCTGCCGATGCAGGGGACACAGGTTCGTGCCCCAGTCCGGGAAGATCCCACGTGCTGCGAAGCCTGTGCTCCGCAATGGGAGAGGCCACAGCGCTGAGAGGCCCGCGTACCGCCACAAAAAAAAAAAAAGAAATTACCCCAGCCACCCCAGCCTTGAGCAGTCACCATCCTGATAAATCAGCAGCCAACACTGAGGCAAGACCCTCCATCAGCAAAAATATTCCAACTCACTGAAGGCTCAGATGATGGCTAGCATTTTTTTTATCAAAACAGTATTTTTTAATTAAGCTATGTACACTGGTTTTTTTAGACATAATGCTATGGCATCCTTAATAGACTACAGTACAGTGTAAATGTAACTTTTATATAAACTGGGAAACGAAAAAGTTCATGTGACTTGATTTATTGCAATATTAGCTTTATTTTGGTGGTCTGAAACTTAACTCGCAGTATCTCCAAGGTATGCCTGTGTAAGTCAATGCTGGATTATCTGGGTAGCTGTCATTTCGGTGTTACCATGTATATCGTTCGTTTTTGTGCCTTCATTATCATGTGTACATCTAGTTAAGTTAGCACCAATTATTTTAATAATTGCAGGAAGATGAGAAAGAGCAATAAATGATGCATTAATATCAAAGGAAGTCCAGTTGAAATCATGGCAGGTCATATGAATGAAACTTATGTAGTAATCTGAATGGACCAAGTGTTGATGAAATTGAGTCATTTCATAAAGCCTATTGTAGAAGAGTGCCAGGAACTCAAAGGGACCAGTAGCCAGTACCATATTCATGTTGCAAGTAGCAATCTGGGTTCAGCAAAATATTATCAGTCACATAAAAGTAATGTTATTTTGAATTGTATTTATTGGTTCTGTAGGGTTTTCTAAATAATATTTTTTTAATTGTATCATATAATAACTAAGTATCAGAAGTTTATACCTATTTTTACATCAGTATATATTGGTACAAATAATAATATAATTTGTTTCAGTCATGGTGAGTTCTCTTTCTTCCTTTAAATTAATTTCAACATTAAGTTATTCTGTTAAGAGAATATGTACATTACTTAAATTTGAGAAGCACTGACTTATTGTTTGTATTTACTGAGAGATCTCTCCGGGCTGGTTTGCTACAATCCAATATGAAATATCACTCACTGTGGCCCTCACCAAGTACTCATTAACTTCGAAGGAAGGAAGTACTTTTTTCTCTCACCCATTTTAATTCACCAACTTTGTTATCAAATGATGCAGTAAACAGCTTCACTGTCTTCCTCTCTGGAATTTCTTTATCCTGACCTCCACTTACTGGGTACTCATCTATCTATAACCTATGCCTTCCCTGAACTCGGAGAAAGGGGTGAAAAAAAGTTGGGGAGTAGGATTATTTCAGTTTCCTTTTGCTACTATAACAGGTTACCACAAATCTAGTGGCTTATAAACAACACAAATTTCTTCTTTTACAGTTCTGGAGGTCAAAAATCCAAAATGAGTTTCACTGGGCTGAAATCAGGTGTCAGCAGAATTGCATTCCTTCTGGAGGATCTCAAGAAGAATGTGCTTCCTTGTCTTTCCCAGCTTCTCCGGGGTCCTCACATTTCTTGGCTTGTGTCCCTCCATCACTCTGACCTCTGCTTGGATCATCAAATCTTCTTTTCTGACTCTGACCCTCCTGCTTCCCTCTTTCATTTACAAGGACTCTTGTGATTACAAGGGACCCACCCAAGTAATTCTGGATAGTGTGTCTATCTCAAGATCCTCAACTTGATCACATCTGCAAAGTCTGTTTCACCATGTAACAATAGCATATTCACAGGTTCCTGGGATTAGGATGTGCAAGTCTTTCTGGTGGCATGATTCTGCCTAACACAGTGGCTATCAATATGCCCAGCCAGTCCCAAGAGCAGAAACTCTGATGGGGGAACCCAACTTGGAAAAGTGTGGGAACACATTCTCCAGAAAGAGAAGAAAAGGGGAATGGACGTAGGTTAAGAGAAAGAGGCATTATATGGTGAATGAAGAGGAGGTTATTTTTCTGAGGAGGATTAAGGAACAGGTTGAAGGCTTGAGATGGTGGGAAAGACTTGGAAAAGTCACTGTGGAAGGTGGGAAAGCCTGCAACTAAAGAAAAAGCAACTGCTTCCCCAGGGCTTACCTGAGTAAAGGCAGTTACCTGAGTAAGACGTGGGGTCTGAGGTCACGCCAATTAGCATGTACATGAAGATGGCACTAAACCCAGTGCCAAAAGAGCTGTCTAAATTTTTATTTCAAATTTTAGGACAAAACCAAACAATGACATCAGAATTAAAGTGTTTCTACCATCTCCTTTTTGTTATGCCATGTTTCTTCTTTTTCCTTGATTCCTATAAGAAACTTGACACTAATTAAGCTAGCATAAGAAGGTGGTAAAAAAAGAAGATGAATCATAGACCACACTGGAAATAAACCAAGAAATAAGAAAAACTGATCTCTGCCCCAAAGAACAACAATGGTGAAAAACTGCGCTAGCAAAGGGGCTATGTACTGAGAGTTTAAATATTTTTTAAAGGACAAAACATGGAGTCTGATAAGATGTACCAGCTGCTTCTCTTTTCTAAGACATTTGCCCAGGAGACAGCTACTAAAGCTTGAGTGTATTTCTCTCTTGCTGTGTCACAGGATGTTCCTCTCCCCTCCCCACCCCCTCCCTGTTCTCCTGCTGCGCGCGTGTGTGTGTGTGTGTGTGTGTGTGTGTGTGTGTGTGTTTGGTTTCTCTCTCCCTCGTAAGAACTCAGCCCCCGCCTGTCTCCTGCTGTTGCTGCTGCTTGACTAGCTTGCTGCCTCTTGCCTCTCCTTTCTCTCTCTGCTTAGCACCTTGCCTTCTGGTAAGTATGACAAACACTCCCCCGAGCCCTGTGAGATGATGTAGGGTGCGGTTTGTGGTGTTCAAAACTTGCAACTTTGAGACTGCCAGTGAACTGTTGAAGAACTTTCCATTGTTTTATTTACAATTAAAATGTGTTGCTCAGGAAGGGATGTATGTGTGGTAATCTGTTGGGACTGCCAGGACAAGTGAAAAATTCTCTCTCAGAGGAGGCAAAAGATGGGCAATGAAGTTTATAGAAGATAAAACAGAAATAATTTCTTGCTGTAAAACTGATTGATATAGAAAGAGAATTTAAAAGTAACAGAGTTCTTTGACTGTTTTTTTCCTCTTGTGGATCTGTCTTGAGGCTACTTTTAGGAATTGAGTTGTCCTGTGGTTTACAACAACTCAGTTATTCTGTTTTAAAGTAAATGTGCAGCATGAGTTTAAAGGAGATCCATGGACTTAATATAAAAAAATCAATGATTATGGCCTCTGATGAATGAAGAATAAATCAAATACAAACAAAACGCTTGCATTTAGACTAACCACACTAAAATTCCTATGGACAATCGGTTTTAAATTCATTGCTTTAAAGTTTGGTTTACTTTAGATTTTATTTCATCCTCAGGAGGCTCCTTAACACTTTAAAACCCACATATGGATTTAAACCAATAAATGTTTACTGTTTTCAATTTGATTTAAAAAGTATTCTCTTCCCTTGATTTCCAAAGACGAAGTGCTAAAGGCCAGGGCTCCTTTTAGAAGAGCTTAAAATAGCTTCTGGCTGGACAGCAGGTGCCATGTGTCTTTCTCCAAGTTCAGGGGAAGCATAAGTTATATATAGATGTGTGTGCCCAACAAGCAGGGGTCAGGATAAAGAATTCCAGTGATGAAGACAATGAAGCTGTTTACTGCATCGTTTGATAATAAAGATGGTGAATTAAAATAAATGAGAGAAAAAAGTACTTCCTTCAAAGTTAATGAGTATTTGGTGAGGGCCACAGGTAGGTGGCAATGTCTGTACATTGAATTTTCTGTTCTTGTTTGCATTCGAGCATTTGACATTGCCTGCCCTAAGAACCAGAGGAGGAAGCTGCATAGTACATGGAGCAGTATGTTTTAGTTTTCGCTTTCATGCCACCACAACAGCAAAACCTGTGTGTTATTAGGACCCTGTCGTAATTGTATGCTGCTAATTAGCAGCATCACCGTTAAATATTATTTACAAATAAAGTGCACCATAACTTAAAGGTCTAAGCCAAAGGTACTGCAACACTAGAAATGGTGATAGCCAGAAACCCTCAACCCATTCCTCACCCCCTATTTCCAAAGAGCCCATATTATACCTGGATTATTCCCCTAGTTCATTCCCTCCCTGCTTTTTAGACATTTCTATTTCTTAAAAAGTATTGTTATCCTAGAGCTCCTTGACTGAGACAAGAAAGTTGTAATCTGTTTTTTTTCTAAAAGAAAGTCAGTTTTTATATCAGAACAAAAAGGTATAGAAACTCAAGGAATTGTTATTATGAGCATCACCATGTTTCCATACAAGTTCATTAGTTAATTTATACCCTTCCTCATTCTCTCTTATCCCAAAAATGAGGCTGGTTTGAACCTCAGAAAATAAAAAGTGTTTTTCTGATTGATAATTCCATGTTGCTCATTTGGGAAAAGGAAAATACCAGACAAGCAAGTATCTCCTGTATCCAATATAATAATTCATTTATATTGATGGACTCATACTAATCAATATGGATTAAAATAGAGTTTAGAATGTTATCATTATGAATGATTTTAGTAAGGTCAATGGCTCTTGTATTCAATGTTTTAACTTTGGGGAAAAAAGCACCAATTTAAATTTAAACATTAAATGTATATATCTATGTATTTATAACGATTGTAAATCTACACAGAATTATATAAGAGAATGGTAACACAAACTGGCTATTCTAAGCAAAATGACAAATATGACCATGAAAAACGGTATCTTGAATTACTCTGTTAACATCAGTAATAGGAGATACTATCGGAATTTAAAGACCAAAACCAAAAATATGCTAATGGTATGACTCGATTTGGAAAGATGCTTCTCACTGTTCCTACTCAACTAACTGCAGTATTGATGGTTTGTGGAAGTACATTCATTCTATGTTAGAAACTGTAATTAGCAGGTGCCCATGTGGGAATAGCCTTACCATTTACCTGTAACTGGGTTAACCACATCAACGCTGGCTGTGCTTACCACCAGATACCACTCCCAGTATGGAGACCAATCAGTCTGTACAGCTGTCGGGGGAGCCACAGTCAACACCTGTGGGGGACAGTTCAGTATTGCCCAGTCAAAATGGCCTTGAGAAGCAAGATGATCAGGATTCCTCAACCCCACTCCTAGCACCTGAGGAGGAGGCAGGTGTGCAGCCTGAACAGGGAGCCCACGATATCTCTGAAGAACTGAACCGACAACTGGAAGACATCATTAACACGTACGGGTCTGCTGTCGGCGCGGCAGGGAAAGAGGGTCCCACCACGGCCAAGGAGCAGCCTGAGAACACAGCACCACCTGACAATGAGGACAGGGCCTGCGAGGAGGCCGCTGAAGAGACGGAGAGAGAACCTCCGGCCTCTGGAGAGCCGCCCACATCCAAAGAGCCTGTCAGCAATAAAGAGCAAAAACTGGAGAAGAAAATTCTAAAAGGATTAGGCAAGTAGTTACGTTCTAATGTATGACTTTTCTTTGAATTATTCCTAAAAAGGGGCACTTCCTCCGATCTTGCTAAGAGCCACATCTCATATCTGGATTTTACCACAGTAGCTTCCTTCAGGATCACCAGTACCTTACTGCACTTATCCTCAGCCCCTTAGTAGTGTGTTCCATTACTACATACATAAAATATTTTTTAACTTAACAAAGCTCTTCAGAAATGTATTAATTATAGAATGTTGAAAATCTCAGAAAACAATTTTACTCTCATTAGTTCACTGGTTCAGCAAATATTTACTAATGCCTAGTCTTTATGAGGTACACAAAGATAAAAAAGTCTTTGGTTAAGGAGCTCTAGGTCTGGAGAGAAAAATAAACAGGTACACTAATTGTTATATAGGATAAGTGCTACAACAGGCACAGGAAAATTGTTAGGAGAGCATGGAGGATTGGTAACACCAAAAATGGCTGTGAAAGAAGGATGAGAGAGTTAATTTTTTAGCTATAAGTGAGAGCATGTTACTGCACATAGGAGCGTCCCTCTGCTTGTCTTGGTGAATTTCACTGAAACACTCACTACAATCACCACCTCCTATGTGATACATTCCCTGACATGCCCAGGTAGAGTTAGCATCACCTTCCGTCGTTCTCCATGAAATTTTCTGCAGCAATCATTTGTTTATATACCTGCCTCCCAAGCTGGAGGGAGAATCTATTGAGACAGTGGTCACATCTTACTCGTTTCTGGAAGACAGTGTGGAAAAGTAAAAGATCATGGGCACTGGAGTCAGACTCCAGTGGACAAGTTAAGTGTAAACCCCAAAGTATGTCTATGCTGTCATAGGACCTCACTTTGGCGCGTGAAACCACTGCTGGCAACGCTTTCAAGAAGGGCTAAAGGACACATTCAGACAGCTACTTTACCTACTTAGCATAAAGATTAACCCAGATAACACCAAGTTCTAAAGTGCAAGATTAGAATCACTTTAGTGTTTTGGAACTCTGGGAAACAGAATAAAGTTGCTCTGTGTTGCAGAGCTATTTTTTCTTCCCTATCCAAGGCATCTCAGAAACAACCTTTTACATTAGTCATGGTTAAACTTTCCATAATATAAAACAAAATCACATCGCAGAGGTAAATGATTTTAAGTATTCCTAACCAGGAAAGTTCTTTGGCTTTATCACTTTGAAACTACTTCTACATAGGAATTCCTATGTGTTATAATGGGGGGGATAGGTATGAAGAAAGCAGGGGTGAAGTTAAACATGACCAATTTTGGTTTCTATTCTGTCTTCCATGAGTTATTTCAAAGTCTGTATTAACCTCATACTTACCAAATAATCAAAAAAATTCTTAGAGAAAGAAAAAATTTCACAACTAATTCTGCCACTTTCAATAAGTTACCAAAGTTCAACTGAATGTTTATCAGAACCAATGTTTGTGATCAGAGTGCCCAGGTGGGTCCACTCTAATTACATGTGTATAAGCTGCTGACACTTTCATGCTGTTCCTCTGAACACTATCAGTATATTCTTCTAAACATTGTACTATTTCAGCTATATTATGAGTTAAAACAATATTTTTTTAAATTAATTAATTATTTTTGGCTGTGTTGGGTCTTCGTTTCTGTGCGAGGGCTTTCTCTAGTTGCAGCGAGCGGGGGCCACTCTTCATCACGGTGCACGGGCCTCTCACTATCGCAGCCTCTCTTGTTGCGGAGCACAGGCTCCAGACACGCAGGCTCAGTAGTTGTGGCTCGCAGGCCCAGTTGCTCTGCGGCATGTGGGATCCTCCCAGACCAGGGCCCGAACCCATGTCCCCTGCATTGGCAGGCAGATTCTCAACCACTGTGCCACCAGGGAAGCCCAAAACAATATTTTTAAGCTAATTTAAATATTTTAAACATCATTTCAATAATCTGCAAGTGGTTTTAACAGGTTTCTTGGCTATTTTTCAATTAAATGATACTACACTATGGTCTAGACCAATGATTTCAAACTTACTGTGCATTGGAATCAAATGCAGAATTTGTCAAAAATGCTGTTGCTGAGCAGAGAGATTCAGAATTGGTAGGTCTGGACTGGGGCCAAGGCACCCTGCGTAATTTTGACACAAACAGATTGCGGAAGCAATGGTTCTGATGCTTCAGAAAGTTCTTCCTCCACCCATTTGGAGAAAATATAAAGTGCCGGCTGTGGTCTTCTTTTAGAAACTATTTGAAGCTTTTATAGAATATTAGTATGTCATTCAATCCATACCTGAAGATATATCTTTAGTCTTTGCTTACATATTTGATCAAAGATGAGTCTTTAATTATTGTATGTTTATCAGATAACATTTGCTTTATTGATACATTTGAGATACTGAAATGTTCTGACTCAATAACCCCAAATTTTCCAAAATATATACTTTGGGATATTTGAGATTTCAGACCAAGCTTGTTTCCTAACTGCCAGAATTCTCTGACCTCTAATATATACAATAGTGAAAAATCTCCAATAGTGATGGGCACAGTTTACAACATTTCCTGAATTTATTGGACCAAAAACACCCATCTTTCACAGAACACCTCTGAATATTTGGGAAATGTCTCTACAACCCAAGCACTCAAGACTTGTTTTTCCTTTACAGGCTGCATATCCTCCCACAGTTAACATATTATACACTGGAGCAGCTGGGGGAACACTTTAAAATCTCTTTAGTTGGTGGAATCACTTTCTCCTTGGCATTGACCAAAACAAAAAACAGATTCCACATTAGACAGCACCATGACATGTCCTCTTAACATCTAAGTGTCCCCCTTCCTTCCCCCCGCCATCTTCCAGCTCACAAGTGTCTTATTAATCTCTTCTCTGTCAACATTACATGGGCTGCACAAGTCCCACGTAGTAAGAAGCACAAAACAATGATAAAATGTAATATCCCTTCTGATATTTAGACTGATAACTGATTGGGTAGGAATTCATATGTTTGAAGCATAAACCCACGAGAAAAACAAAGCTGATCCACAGGTCCATTCTGAGCTCAGAATCTATCTAGTCAACTCACTGATTTACTGAGAGGGAAATTAAAGCCTAGAGAGTTTTAAAGTCTGCCAAAAAAAATTATTCAACTAATTGATGTGGTTGTGAGATTAGCCATAAAGAAAGCAAGGTGCAGACCTGAAGTCACTAATATTACAGGGCCAAAGATATATAAAAATAATTGATATGTTGGTTGAGGAGCATTTAATTGAGCTACAGTTCAGTTAATTGGTTTCATCTTTCCAGTGACAGGTGAGTTTCAGTTCTACCTTCTGAGTGGCATCTTGACTAGGACATTGATTTTCTAAAATCTTTTCGGCCATTGACTTACTCTGCCTTAGAATGGTCACCTTCCCAGGTAGTCTATTTTATAAGATTTTAGCTTGATGTTTTTTCTAGTTTCACTCTGAGAAGGAAATAAACTGTTGCTTTGATATAAATACTAAATTTTCTGGAAGAAATGGTAGAAAACCAGAAGAATTTAGGAGAGAGAGGAATCCACAGAGACTGAAGGGTCCATGAGTAAATTCATAGAGAAGCTCAAACTTAGGCCAGATCCTGAAAGGAAAGGAGGGTTTAGAGGAGTAAGTGAAGTAAGAGAAAAAAAAAATTTGTCTTGGGCAAAATGATGAGTACTTTCTTCTGACCCAAGTTGGGAATGGATGTATTTATTTCTTACTGCTTTTTCTGATATTATTCTTTTTTATTGTAAGGTTTTGCTTTATTTTGTTTTCCCTGGAATAATCTCCTCATTATTAGGCTCAAAGTTGTTTTCTTTTTAAGAAAGTTTTCTTTACAGTTATAGCTAAGAAATTGCTAGCACCTTAAACACATAAAGCCGATTTTTCCTCTTGTGTCAGACACTGTCACCAAATGACCCCATTTCCTAAAATTGTAAATTATAGCCTTTCTTAGAAGATGAGTGGGTCTCTGTCTATCCCCCTCCTCAACATAATCCCACACAGCACTCTAGTCCAGTGAAACCAATGGAAGTTTACAAATTAAGCTCTCTGATGTTACAAAGTTACGTATTCCATACATGCTTGTCTCCAGTTTCTTGGATTTTTTTGTTGAAATCATTTTTGAAGGGCAGACTGATGCATCTGAATGTTAAACTTCTATACAAAATAAGAGAATATGAGAGCAGAAAGACACCCCAGTGAGTGTGACAATTAAAAAAAAACAAAAAGCATCTGTTCTCATCATTAAAGAACACAAAAGGGGGAGAAGATACTGAATGTGGAGAGAAAAAGAGGCCCACGGGACTCACTCAAGACACGATACGGTTTTCTACGTCGATACTCACACTGAGAGGTATGCTAAGCATACATTAAATGTCACAGGGGAGGGGAAGACCTGTCTTTCCTCTAGCTGATCACAGAGTTGTCTTCTGGACAGCGTTTACTTGACTTACATGATATTAGTGCACAGGTTGGCTTTGTTCCATTATTACCAAGATTTACTAAACACTTGCCATGGGCCAAACACTGTGTGGGGTCCTGGGCCAAATCTGACCAACAGTGCAGTCTCTTGCCTTTAATGGATGATCCTCCAACTCAGGACAGCAGTCATCATGTGAGCACAAACTGAAGACAAGGGTGAGGGGATGGCCTGACCAACACAAGTCTGTCCCTGCTGCTACAGAAATCACTCAAAGCCACGCCTGGTGGCGGCGGAGCGCAGAGCTTACCAGTTTAAAGGCAGTGTTATGCCACCGGCCATATTGGATTGCTGGTGGGGCACCACTCACCCCCACCTTCTCCCCTGTCTCAGACTGTGTCTCTAATCTGAGCTGATTCACTGGGCAAATATAGATGAAACCAGCTGTTAGGAATGAGGTCACTTTTTTCAAAAAAAGTTCCCTTTCATTTCTCTAGGTTTCCCTGGCATCAAAATTCCACATGGGAGTGGAGTGCTTTAGAGCAAGTAGACAAACCTTGGATTCAAGCCTTGGCTCTGCCAGTACTGATTATGTAACTTTGGACTTCTCTGGGCTTTCGATTCTTAATCTATAAAATTAACAGTTGTCTGGGTGCTCTCTGAAGTTCCTTCTAGACCTAAAATTCTTTGATGCCGTTAGAGTTATCAGTTTGAGCAAATGAAAATACAAGCTGCCCAGGGAACTTTGAATTTCAGATAAACAAACCATTATTTTTTACTACGAGTGTGTCCCATGTCCTGTATTTCATCTGGCAATCCTAATTCCATGATATATCTGCCTCTCCAGGATGAAAGCAAAAATTCCAGCAAAGGAGACATGGCTGTTCTTGGGGGAGAGGTTGTCAAAGTTGTTAATATTCTTAAGCAGATTTATATCAGGAAACTTGGGCTCCACTGTATGGTCTGACCTCCCAACCCTGATTAGAAAGGGTGGCTGTCACAGGTGGGTGAGGATGGGGAAGCTGCTCCACCTTGGCCCTACTGTTTGCAAAGATACATTCAGTGGTACATACACGTAGGCCTCAGGGTCTGGCTCCTGCCTACAATGCTCAGCCCAGTGGGCACTGAAAGACAAGATTTCCAGGCATCACAGAAAGGCTAACCAGGCAGTTTGACCTGAAGAGGACAAAAGGAAGAACAATGGGGAAAGAAAAGAAAGAATCTGAGGCTCACTGTCAAATAATCATGAACAGATGAGTTTTTAAATGTAGCATAAACTCCAGCTGGAAACAAAATAAAACTGCCAACAGAGATTAAGGCCTGGGTGAGAGAAGGGAAGACCCAGGGAAGCTAAATCTGCAGCCAGAGAGACACAAAAAGGCCTGTGAAAAAGGCCCTGCATGTCTTGGGTCCATTTTCTCTATATTTTGACTTTATTCCCCACTTGTTAGGAAATACAATCAGAGTCATTCCACCCAAACTTCATGGAGTAGGCTCATGCACAGAAACAAGAGAATTGGTTCTCCCTCCCCCCCCACAAAAGAACAAAGAGGTACTAAAGGAACAAAGCCAAAAAATGGGCAGACTGAACTGTCATGTTTCTCTGCTTTGGGCTGGAATTTTAACAGCTCCATGTATTAATGCTGGCTGTTTCACAGTAGTCAGATACTTGGATAGGCTGGTTTGCTTCTTTTCTTAGATAATTAACATGGGGAAGTGGATGATTTATTCTTTCATAAAGTCAGTGTTTTTTATTCTTTTGAATATTTTCAGAATGTTTAAAATCCCTTGGAATATTTAGAACATGGGGGGAAGTAACAAGAATGGATTCTTGGGATGAAAATTTGGAGACTACCCTTATAGCAGACATTTATTGAGAATCTACCATGAGCCTGACACTGTACCACACATTTTTACAAACTTCTCATCTAATCACTTATTCTGCAAAATAGGTATCATTCCTTCATACAGGGGAAAAAAACCAAAATTACATCTGCGGCTCAGACAAGTGAAGTGGCTTGGCCAAGGTTGGATAGCAGCTAACAAGCAGACAACCTGAGATTCTAACTCTTATCATTTGACATCAAGTTCAACACTTATTTTTTAAAATGTCTTTATGGTCTTTGTTTTCTTTTAAGGCAAAGAAGCCAATCTGCTAATGCAAAATCTGAACAAGTTGCAAACTCCTGAGGAAAAGCTTGATTTTTTATTCAAGAAGTATGCTGAATTGGTAAGTTCTTGGATTAGCCCTTTTTGTCAGAAAGATTCAAGCTCTGGTTAGAGCTGAGAAAAGGATGCTGTTAGTTTTTCAGGTATATCATTATAGCTGGTTACCTCAGACAAATCAAAGCCAGAATTCATAAAGGCAGAGTTTTTAAAAAAGAAGTAAATAAATAAAAAGAAACAGGAAAACTGAGGAATAACAGCAAAAGGAAGAAAGAGGATACAGTTGGAGTCTACTCCACCTTCAATTATGTGCATAATTTGGGAGATGGAAGAATCATAATTAAAAATTGTGAATATTTAAAAGTTATTTTTGCCTTTGCAATAAAACAGAAATATACTAGAATAAAGGCAAACTTTCATCCGGTTCTTGTACACAGATTTTTTGAGGGGGTGGTCCCCTCAAGAAGGCAGAGGGTTGAGTTAATCCCACCCCTCAGTTTGTGACACATTCTCATTTATTCTTGATGACTTTATTGATTGATTCATTCATTCATTCTCTTTGATCTACATTCTTCTCCTTGTCCCCCACGATGGCAAAGCATTTGACATGGATTGTTTTGTTTCCAGTTATAGGTCCTCCCATGCAGTCTGCCTCTCTATAAGGTAGGACCACTGGCAGGAAGGGAAGCCACTCCCAGACTTCAGAGAATCTGTGAAGTGGATGGTCTCCTCGCCAGTACTCTTATAATAGGCCAGTTGGAAGAAAGAGGAGGGTTTAGTGAAGCCAGCCCCCCTAGTTTCAGTGAACCCTCACAAAAACTGGCTAAAGGAGTAGCACCTGAGGTCCGTGCACCACCCCTGAGGTGTACGAGACCCACTGAGGAGATGTGGTGTCCTCTCAAGTGAGGCTGGGCAATGTACCTCTCTCTCATTTCTGCTTCTTTCCCTCATTTTTTTCCACTTTCTTATTTCTTTTGGAGAAGCAGTGACAGGAAAATGAAACTTAAGCCCCTACACACAACAAAACAATTCCTCCAGGCAGGAGATTGAACTGCCCCTGAAGGCAGATTTACCTTACAGCAAAGAAGCTTAAAGAGTCAGTGCCTCTCACTTGTATGGGCCCCTCTGAGGCCCTGAACATAATTCTCTTTTTTAAATTTTTTCCTTTTTTTTTTTTTTTTAAAGAAGGTCTCCAAAACTGAGACCCACAAACCCCTCAGGTCTCTGGCTGCATCTTATCCCTATTGATGGAGTAGAGTTTAGTGAGTGACTTGTTTTCCTTCTTTTTTTACTCTAATTTTAGCACTGTGATCCCTATTTATCTTTCCTTTCTTCCTTGTACCTCAATGCGTCCTGTTATGCTGAACTGTCATGCAACAGACCCAGAGAAATTCTGAAACCCTGAATGACTAGTGATTGCTTAACTCTACCAACAATACTTTTATTTTTTAATCACATAAACCACATCACAATAATATAAGGAAAATGCTGAATATACAAGTAAAAATATCTCTAATCCTACAATCTAAAACACAATCGTTGATTTATCTGTCTTCCTTTCCAGTTCTGCCATACATTCAGAGATACCTTTTGCATAACTACCATCATAAGGTGCATATAATTTAGTATCTGTTTTTTTGGCTCATATGACAGACATTTTCCCATGTACTTTGTAGTCTTCATAATTATATTTTGTCAAAGCTATGTAATTTTCCATTAATTGACTTTATCTACTGGTTCTCTAATTTGGGGACATTTAGACTCCTTCCAGTGTTTGTTTTACCAAACATTCATGCAGTGAACATCATCATGCATGAGATCTGTTCGTTCTCTTTTATGATCCTAGGAAAAAGTTTCAGAATTGGGATTACTAAATCAAGCAGTATAAATGCTTTTTTTAATGGCCATATTGTTTTCCAAAAGAATGGTAGAAATTTATAAAGCAAGTATTAGTGTATCAATTTTATTGCAACTTGTTTAACATTGGCTGTTAACCACTCATGAGCAATTTCAGTGCCATAAAATGGTAGGTGTCAAATTTAATATTTTTCCCCAAAACCTGGCCCCATCCTCACCTGTCCATCCTTGCTCTTTGCAATAATTACTACATTGATTTCCCTTTGCCCTTCAATTTACTCACTCATACCAAGGCCATTCATATTTAGTTCCTAGTGCCATGTTCCATACTTGGATGAACCAGGCATCTTTCTAGACTACTACTCTTTATGGTGCTGTAGCCCCACAGCAGATTATCGGGAAAAAACCACTTACGCAGTCCTTCCAAGATTTTCTTCATGAGCCAGGGCTGTTCACCCTGGTCTCCAGGAACTCCCCAAGCCCACTCACTCTCCTAGCCAAGAAGTCAACCCCACAGAGGTTATTTTTCCAGAAATTCTACTCAATTCAAGTCTTACTATACTTTGGCATTTGTATCATACCCTATAATAAACTTTTAAACTCAAAATATCATTCTAGAAAAAATGAATAAGAGAAAATTGACCCCCAAACCCCATCACATATCCTTTTCAGAAAGGAAAAATTATGAAGAATTTCAATCTTTTACTTGGACACTTAAAAGCTATTTTCCCTGCTCACTGATTCAGATATTAATACAGAGAGTGTATGAAATAGAAGTGTTAACATAGAATAAATCATTAAATTCAAGGCTGTGAATCAAACTGTCACCCTAGCTCACCCATCCTTACAGATTCTAAATCCTGTAATATCATCAACTATTGTATTTACTAATAAATAAGGATAAGTTCATTAATAAATAAGGACACCTCATGACTAAATTAAGAAATGACCTGGAAGAAATATTTTTTGCAAATTTCCTCCATTTAAAAGTAGTTACAACGTTACTAACTACTTGGCATTAATTTTACTTTTTTAACTTAATAGTAAAAAAGAGAGAACAAGAGAAATTCCAGATAAAAATCTTATATGCCTGTTAGAATTGTACAGAAGACACATGTCTAAGGGTATTATTAAATCACAAGGCCAGCATTTGACTGAAGTTGACCCAGCTGCAATACGTTTGCTTTCATTCATTAAGAGACCCCATATGCATTCACATAAATCTGAAGTATGGAACAAAATTAGCCACACTCTAAAAAAAAATCGTCAGCAAGTTAAGGGGTTCTATTTAGAGCAAAGCAAGACAGACCTAGCTATATTTCAGATGTGTATGATCCTGCCTTAAAACTGGAACATTTAAATGGCCAGTGAGGTATAGCACAAATCCTCTCTTCCAACTTATGAAACACATGCAAGGTATCCTCCTCCTGATGCTCAGATAAATCCACACATAGGGCAGTGTTCCCCCAAACAGGGGAAGCTGTGCCAACCATGGGCCAGTAGGCAATGTCTCTGGAGATACTCTGGATGTCACAGTTGGGGGTGCGACTGGCATCCGGTGGGTAGGGGCCGGGGATGTGGCTAAACAGCCTACAATGCAGGGGACAGCCTCCACAGCAAAGGACGATCTGTCCCCAAATGTCAACAGTGCTAAGGTTGAGAAACCCTGACAAATGGTTTAATCTTGCAAAGGTAAAGTCTGAACCAAAACGGCAATAACAATAACAACAACATATAAATGTCAAGAAAGGACAATAGGTCATGTAAAGTACGAACACAAGTATGAGAAGTTTCACCCCTGTCTAATAACTGTGGTGCAAAATGAGATTAGCACGAGAAATATATAATAAAATATAATTGGTTTTCCAACTGAACCTCAAGAAGGATACCAATTTCAATCGATATTTATAGTAATATGGACTTAGTTTTTCCTGATGCTAATTCTCACTAATAAGTAAAAAATGTCCTGAAGTATGAAGATAGAATATCATGTATGAATAGCCCCAGCTTAATCTGGCAAGGGTTTATCATGGACATTTCAGGCTGATGGGAGGGAGGGAGGAAAGGATTAAAATAAGATGTAAACTGAAGAAAGTGTGACAGTCCTGTTCATCTAGTTCAGAAAGAACAAATGCTTTTTCAAGACAGGGTAACTGAGACATGTATCAGGGCTCACACTGTGTGTGTATCCATTTGCATCTGGCTCTGCGAGGTACCAGGAGCACCTGGGGTCCAGAAGCACCCAGAGGCTCCCAGGCCTCTTCCTCTTCATTAGCCAACAAGGTCATTATTAGGACGAGTACCTTCCTGGCCTATGCACCATTCAGGTTCTAAGGGAACTAAGTGCAGCAGAGGAAATGGGTCTGGAAAAAGGCTCCAGCTTGTTCGTGGCCACACTGATCATCCATCTGGGATCCACACTCCTACTACGCTAGTCTCTGGAGGCTGAACCCCCAATTCCCCCCATTCCAACAAGATTTCCATAAAAATGTGTTGCCAAATTTACCAGACAAAAATACAGAACGCCCAGTTAACTCTGCATTTCAGGTAAACCAACAACCTTTTTTTTTTAAGTAAAAGCACCTTCCATGCAATACTTTGGATATACTTTTACTAAAAACGTATTCACTATTTATTTGAAATTCAAATTTAACTGGGTGTCCTACACCTTACCTGGCAGCCCTACCTCAGAACTTTAGCATCCCGAGATGGAAAGCCCAGGGGTTCATTGGTTTCATTTTCCATGCCGCCCTTGATTTCGATACTTCAGCTGTGGCTGCTGGAGAAGTGAGAGAAGAGGCCCCACCTGTGCTCAGCAGATACAAGTGTCATGGTTTATTCACCATAAGTACAGAGGGTGAGGGAGATGGGCAGGGAGCAAGGCTTGTTAAGGATACTTGCCATGTGTGCTGTTGGGTTGTGCAGTGGCTATTTCTGAAACTTCGGTGACAGATCATCAATCCTTAAGTAGTCGAGGGGTACATTCTCCGCTCCCCCTTTCTCATAACCACAGACTTCATCTTCTGTCTGCTAGGAAGCTGCTTTTCACTTTCCTTTTAAAAATAGTTACTAAAGCTTGTCTTGAGAAAGAATTGTGAAAACTAAATGTAAACCAAGCAGACACACCATTGACTATCCTCCTAACGCAAGGCATTATCATGAATTCTGAGACATGCTTCTACACTGACTGACTTCATTAGACTCAAGAAAGATAAAACTGTTTCTAGACCACCAAGAAGATCAAAGCAAAAGAGATCAATAATAAGAATAATGAAGGAAAAAAACCCATAAATGTTATGCTCTTAAAACCATATCTACAAGCACTGCCAAGTTAACATTTATGAAGTTCTTTTGATTCCAGAGAGACAGTGATAACAGCAAAACATTTTCCAAACAACCATACAGCGGTCTCTAGGCGTTTCCTCTTTGGGTCCTTTTCTATCAACTCAACAGAGATCCCTGCCATTTTCTTTCACATTTGCATCCCCACATCCAGCTGGATGAGCATCGCTCTGAGCAAAGGAAGTTAAAACTCCTACAGAAGAAACAGGCACAGATCCAAAAAGAAAAGGACCAGTTACAAGGTGAACACAGCAAAGCTATCCTTGCACGAAGCAAACTGGAGGGTCTGTGCCGGGAGCTGCAGAGACACAACAAGACACTGAAGGTATGTGTCACCGAGGCCCCACATAACACACCTTCTTGCATGCTCTGTAGGCACAGGCTTCTGCTACTTACGGTAAGGTTGTGAGTTTTAGAATCAGAGAATTGGGTTCAAATACTAGCCCTGCCACTTGCTCACCTGTAGCTTGCAATAAATTATTTTACCTCCCAAGCCTGTTACCTCATACATAAAATGAAGATTATACCAACTTTGCTGCGTGGTCAGGGAAAAATTAAATGAGGCCACACATGGAAGGTGCTCACATAGTACCTGATGTGGAGCAGACCTTTAGTAAAATGTGTGCCATTCCTCTTCCTTATGTTGAGTTTGTTTTGTTTTGTTTTTTAAGGTAGGCCTTAGTTCTACTCTTTAAAATACAAATTTATAAAAATTCAACATTTTTTGTACGTTAATGAAATCTGCATGACATGAAATAAATTGACACAAAGCTGACAGAATAAGGCAAGATTCAGAGCTAAAATGTCAATAGTCACCTGAAAAAAGAAGCTACTCGAAAAAACAGTGAAGCTCTTCAAGCTTAATTATTCAATCTAAAAATAATAGACTGATCACTTCAGTCAGTCTGCATGGGTTTCATTAATTACAGCGTAAGCCTCTAGCAGTGTGGTTAATTTGATTACACACAGACACTAGCTCCATCCAGTGAAGCAAGATGCAGGGCTCTCCAAGATAATACTGCATGCATCCACAATCCCCTTTCCAGCTGAAGATCCTAAAGCTTTTGACAAACAAGAATTAATTAGATAGCAATATTCTTGTGAGATAGTTATTATTACACGTGTTTAAAAGAAGATACTTTAAGATACAGAGAGATTAAGATCATCGCTAAGTTTTTACAATGGAGTTAGGAAGAAAAATGGAAGAGGATAATGGCTCCTCATATCCCAAAACTGTTTTCCAATATCTGGGAAATGAGAGGCCAGTGTGATGAACTCTAACTCTCAAATTACGAGTTGTAGGAGATGGGCTTCTGACATCTCTTTAATCATTGCACTGGGACAATCGAAACCCAGGTTATATGGGAATGGGGTCATCATCCTCAACTTCAGATATGTAATCAAGTAATAGCACTCTGTGCTTACATAAATCTCCTGGCTTTCAGCAGTGTTGTATAGTAAGGAGATAAAAGTTAAATTTCCTTTAATGACGTGGATGGAATGATGTGGCTTGATCTCTTTGGACAGCATTCAAAGACAGAATGACGCAAGTGGCAGGAGATCCTGTAGCTATACCCACACACCCTCGGTAATGGCTTCCAGTTATGGAAATGGAATTAAGTAGCATTATTATGCCAGGACTTGTGCTGATTGCTTTTACATACACATTAGGTGTAATGTTCCATAAGTAACAATTAGCTCTAGATCATTTATGTCTTTACTGAATTTTTGTCTTGTTGCTCTATCAATTGCTGAGGGATGGGTGTAAAAAATCTCCTACTGTAATTGTGAAATTGCCTACTTCTTTCTTTTAATTACATCAATTTTTGACTATAGGAATCTTCTAGTTCAAGCTATTCATATGTCTATATGTAAATTAATAATTTATTGATTCATTAAATAAACATATACTGAATACCCATGGATTGTGTCCCAGGCACAGCACTGGTTCTAAGATGCACAGTGATGCTTGAAAAGTTTTCTTAGTTATTTCAGATTTTGTCCCTCAATTTTCTTTGCATTATTGATTTTCACTTTGAATTTTGTGCATGATGAAGAAAATTTTATCTCAGACATTGTCCAAATGATTGCATTTTCTTTACCAGTGGACTCAAATTTTATGACTGCAGTACATTTATTTTTCTCTCATTGAAAAACAATGTAATGTAAAATGCAAGATGCCATTCTGTGGGCCAGGATTGGGTGCTATGATGGTTTGACATGTGTTTAATGCCATATTAACAGCCATACCTTCTTTCTCTAGCCAGTGGCCAGTGAAAAACTCAGACTTGCTGGGTAGCATGGGGTGGTCCTTTCATTTACTCATTCATTCATGGATGGAATAGTTATGAATGCAAATGACATTCAGATCATGGAGTATAATTCTACGACTAGGAGGTTGTTGGCTTCTAAACTAATCGGGAACAATAAGGAGACAATCACTATCACATGTATATTCAACTGCTCTTAACAGACGCCAAAATCACTTTTAGTGAAATACATATAGTAAGTGTTAGCATTCAAAGTTCAGGGAAATAACATCTCCGATAGTTAATTTCTTCAGATTAGGAAGTGTAGATTTCTTCTACAATATCCCTAAGAAATTTCCACTCAATCAATGTTTATACTATGAATAAATTATTCTGATATCAGGAGTCATATTAGAGTTAGAAAATATGCAAATATTGTAGAAGAAAGGGGATACGTAATGATAAATTAAAATATTTCCAGAGCATGTATTTTCAGCATCAACTTTTATTTTGATCACATTATTCTACTGTAATAATAAAGATTTGCACAATTACTTCTGTTTCAATCGGCATTTCTTTTTAAAAATCCTGTTACATAATTTGATCATGGTAGGCAACTAAATGCAGTATAATTTTACTTGCCAACAATGAAGCAAGCTTTCATAATAACAATTAATCAGAACTAAAGGAATCCTAAAATGTCTGTAACACTTGTCAGCAGTGTCTCTATCTTTGGTATGATGTAGCAAGATTAAGCCCTTTTATTTTAAAAGAATGAGAGGAATAAGTACAACGCAAATAATTCTCAATATAGATATGGGTAAAATTTGGGTACACTGTCAGCAGTTAGCAATGAAGGGGGACTTCTGATTTAGGAGAAAAGAGAACAGCAATGATATAAAAGTTAATTTTCAATTCTTAAATGTTAACAAAGTAGACTCTTCATTAGATATTTCATTTTAGAGTTAAAGAAGATTTGAAACATAATATTGCTTTCAAATTCAAAATTTACACTGAACATTTCCATTACCCTATGAGACACAATGGATGATTGTTCCTTCAAAAGATATCCAGCATAGGGGACTTCCCTGGTGGCGCAGTGGTTAGGATTCCGCCTGACAATGCAGGGGACATGGGTTGCGCTCTGGTCTGGGAGGATGCCACATGCCGTGGAGCAAGTAAGCCCGTGCGCCAGAACTACTGAGCCTACTGAGCTCTGGAGCCCACGAGCCACACTACTGAAGCCTGCGCGCCTGGAGCCTGTGCTCCGCAACAAGGGAGGCCACCACAAAGCCCGTGCACCGCAACGAAAAGTGGCCCCCGCTCGCCGCAACTAGAGGGAGACCACGTGCAGCCACAGGGAGCCAACACAGCCAAAAATAAATACATAAATTTATATATATAAAAAAAAATCCAGCATATTTTCTAAGATTTCCTTTTACATTCTTGAATTGCTGTAATTCATCTATGGTTATCTTAGTTTCCTTTTCAAGCTTTTTGATGAAAGTTTTTTTTTTTAACTAAAAAAATTTATATTGTGATCACTTATATTTTAAAAACTTGGGCAATACAATTATGTGATTAATATGCCATCATTTTTATAGAGGCATAAGATCTATTGTTCTTCTTTCCATACCAAACCAAAGGAACACATGATATGTCCCATCAATCAGTAAAACCAAGTGGCCTTTTTTTCCAGGCTACAGCCAAGAGATCAGAACCTTAGGGCTGCATGTCTGTTAGAAATCCCTGCAGTTTATTCACTCAACAGGGGACCCGTTGTCTTTAAAACAAGCCTACTCATCACCAACTATCAAATTCAAGGCCCTTGCTGCACCTGCTCTGAGTGACCGTGTATTCACAGCTGAAACCTTTGCTCAAGCATTTATTTTGGGGCTGAGCAATGTTACCTCTAGAGAGCTGAGGAAAAAACATCCTTCTTACCCTGCACACTAATCTCCTTTCATTGACCAAACCCTGAGTTCTGTAAACCCTGGTGCGTGTAAACCAGCATAACAAAAGAGTTTGCTTTCTATCCACAGGAGGAAACCCTTCAGAGGGCACGTGAGGAAGAAGAGAAAAGGAAGGAGATCACAAGTCATTTCCAGAGCACACTCACAGATATCCAGGCCCAGATCGAGCAGCAGAGTGAGCGAAATATGAAGCTCTGTCAGGAGAACACTGAGCTCGCAGAGAAACTAAAAAGCATCATTGATCAGTATGAGCTCAGAGAGGAGGTGAGAACCACATCAAACAACTTAGAAGCACTGCATATAAAACCAGATCTGGGTTGTGAAGGTGGGGAACTTGGTTAATGACAAAGTTATGGCCAGCCCTCTCGATTGATTAATATTTAGGATTGGATTTCTTTTACTAGCCAAAATAAAAACAGACGGTATTGCAAAGTACCTGGCTGAAAGGCATACAGGATTTCTTCAAAACTGGAATCACTGCAAAGCAAAGGTAACAAATAGAAAGTGGTGGGCCGTGAACACAGTTATTCTTGAAAATAGTATTTCTCAGCCTTTCTGAAACTCTCTCTACAGAACCAAGAAATACCTCACACACTCCCTCTTGAAAATTACTATGTCACCTAAATTAAAAGTCTGCATTGTATATACCCCACAATCAAATAATATATAAAATATTACTATATAGTAATTATAGTAATAATGGCATTATTATTTATGCTTAGCTTGTGCCAGGCAATGTGCTAAGTATTATACTTTACATACAATATGTCATTTAATTGTCTCAACAATCTTATGCACCAGATGATAACATATTATCCACATTTTATAGATGGGAAGCAGAGGCTACGAGATTCAATCACTTATCCATAGACACAAAAGCCAAAGAGTTTTGTTGTCAATGGTTTACATTAGGGGGACTATAAGGATCTTTTATTATTCCAAAATTAAACTTTAATATTCAATATGTTTTTAAGACTCCAGATGCCCCCTCAGGATTTTGATATATCATATCCCTTTTCCCATCCCACCCAAATTTTAAATATCTGCCTTAAAATGTAATATAAAATAGTCAAAGTAGCCCTGTTGGCAACATGCTAAGGTTTTATCAAGAAAAAACCTGAGCCAATAGAAGGTGGTAATAGCAGTTAGGTAAATCAAGAAACTCCTCACAGTAAGCCATAATGCCATGCTACCGTTTTATCTTGTCACGAAGACCAATCCTGCTCCAAAGTGGAGGTCCAGGAGAAAACAAAACGGAAGGAGCTAAAAAGAAAATGTCCATACTCTTCAGAGAGATCTCATATGGGAATGGCCTGGTAGACTAGTTGTATATTCCTAGGATTGGTTCTAGGTAAGGCCCAAGGATGGAATTCCACATGTCCTCTTGCCAGTGGGACCTCCTAATGACCAAGAAATTCTCCACACTGAGGTAGAGTTGGAAGTTTCTCTTCACCAAGGTAGTCAAGAGGTCAAAAGGCATGCAGGAGGCAGTAGCACATCTGCGTGTCAATTCACCTGTGACCCTCAGCCTCGTCTCGCCCACCAGAGAAACAGAGCTGATGTCAGGGGTTCCTGTTTCAGTCCCAGACCCAAGGCCACAAGCTGTTACCTCAGGGCTTCCTCACCACCCTTTGAGGCAGGCATGTAGAGGAGAATTCACCATGATAAAGTGAATTAATGTTGTGATTAAAAGTGGTTTTATATTCACAGAAAGCACCAAAATACCAAGTGATAGTGCTGTAGCCCTTGCAACATACATCATTGTCTGTGCTGCCTAGCATAATTACTAGCGCCATATCTAATAGTTACCAAATTTAGAAAAATACTGTTCGGACCTTTTGGAGTTAGCACTGCTGAACTCTGGCACCTCCACCTTTTGCAGCCACTTTTGTGTAGTACAAAATGCAGGGGACTCCACCAATTTATGACTTTCATATAAAACCATAAACGATGCCAATGCATTTATTCTCCTCTTTTTTTTTAAATCTTAAAACCCAGCGAACACGTGTTTATGTCAACATTACTTTTTTTTTACATTGTTTTCAGCACCAATAATAAGTCAAGCTTGATAATGTGCATTTTATTTTTCTTAGCACCTGGACAAAATATTTAAACACAGAGAACTGCAGCAGAAGCTGGTGGATGCAAAACTCGAGCAGGCGCAAGAAATGATGAAGGAAGCAGAGGAGCGACACAAACGTGAAAAGGAATATGTACTTATCACCTGAGTCTGTGTGCTTGTCTGGTCTGCCTTGGGGTGAGAGAACCCCTGAGAATGTTGTTTTTGACAACAGTCATAGAGCACTAGACTGATGGAGAAAGAGCCTAAGCTTCCCTGGAGAATGAAATTGGCTAGCCCAGTAGGAGACACTGTACTACACTGTTTTTTACCTAAAACAGTCATGCATCCATTCACCAAACCTTTTTCAAACACCTTTCATGAGCTATGCACCCTTCCAGGTGCTGGGGTGTAGCGGTGAACAAGAAGGAGAAGGCCACACTCCAGCATGAATCTAACTGGGAAGAGACGCAATAAACAAGAAAACAAATAAGGAAGGATAATTTCATATAATAGTAAGTGCTACTAGGGAAATAAGGAGGAACCTCGAATGGGGCAGAAGGAGAGGACCTACTTTAGACTGGGTGATTAGGAAGGCCTACCGAGAGGAGGACGCTTGAGCTGCGCCCTGCCTGATAAGAGGGAGTCAGAGAGGAGGTCTCCAGCAGCAGTGTCTGCAGAAGAGACAAAGATCCTAATGCTGGAACCAGCGTGGCATCCTCCAGAAATTGGAAAAGGTCAGGGTGGCAAGAGCAGGTTGACCCATGGGAGAAAATTTCAAAATAAAATTGTAGACGTAAACAGGGGCCAAATTGTATAGCTCTGTAAGCTTGAAATGTAGTTTGGATTTTATTCTAAATGTAATAGGAAAGTACTGGGTAGTTTTAGCAAAGGAAGTGACATGATCTGCTTTGCATCTGTAAAAGCTGAATTTGGCTCGTAGGTGGAGAGTGAACTAAAGAGGGACAAGAAAGCAAGAAGATAGCTAGGCAGCAATCTGGGCAAGATCTGACGACGGCTTGGACTGGGGAGGTGGCAGTGGAGAAGGAGAGCTGGATGTGGATAAAAGTTATGTTTTTAATGTAAAACCAACAGGCAATGCTTTGAACAGGAAGATGGTGACAGTGAGGAAAGGAAGGAGTCAAGGATGACTCCTGAGTTTTTGGTTTAAGAAACTGAGTGGTGGCTTTTACTGACATCTCATTAACCCCAAACACTCCAAAACAGGTGAGAGAATTGAGGCTCAAAAAGGATATGTGACTTGTTTAAGGTCACACACTACTAAGTGACCGAGATGTGTTGGTCACGTCTCCAGTGTATCTGTCCCCAAAGCCCAAGCTCTGTGATAGTACATCACACTCAGAGATGTGTTTCAGAGGCATGAGTTAAAGCAGTGTCTGTTGCTGGGGAGAGAGAAATTTGACACAGTCAATGGACCAGTTGTTCAAATGTAGCCACTTAACAATTGATCACAAGCTCTGCATTTACCTAAAATCAGACTATAATCATTTCAATTTGTTAGAATAGGAATTTTTTTTTAAACTTCGGTTTTCAAACTTGGCAACAAAAGGATAAATTCTGGAGAACATAACCTGGTGGACGTTGCATAATTTCAAATCAGATGTCCATGTGCTCTTAATAAAAAGATTAATTGATTAAATCCGTCTACAACCTAGCTCTCAAAGTAAGAAGTAAAGCATTTATTTATTATTCAGAATCCAAGAAAACGGATACTCCACTGTTGATGTAATTACTCTCAGGTAAGATATGCTTCCTACAGAATATCAGTACCTTTGGTATTTAATATATGAGGCATGAGAGAGGAACAACTAGGCAAAGATTCATGTGAGAGAGACTGGGGGGCAGACACAGAGTGACTCAACCTTAGCAAGAAACTAGCATGCTGCCCTCTTTTCCTTCCCTGATTTAGCAAAACAGCAGGTACAAGTCAAAGAAAGGTAGTCTCCCTCAGTTCTTCAAAGCTAGCGGCTACCTTCCTGGGTTCCAGCTCTGACACTTCTTTTTGAAGCTGATGAAATATCAAGTCAGAGCTGCGGGGTAGGGGAGGGGCCGTTCTTCATTTCAAGAACAGGCAGCCTCCTTCTTCCTTCTTCATGGGAACCACCCATCACAACAGGGCCCCTGTGTGTCAAGCAGGGGCCGGCCGTGTACATTGCAGCCACACAGCTCAGATGGCCAGAGGGGGCGCTGCAGGTCTTCCACTCCGCGGCTGCCTCAGACCTCTCTTACAGTGAGTCAATTGCACTTCTATAATAATTGATCCTCACTGCTCACTGGAAGGCATGGAGGGACATATACAACCCCCTTTTACAAATGGAGAGGTCAAGACTAACTTGGATAAGAAAAAAGTTTTTACAAATAATGATTTTATTATTTTTGGTTCTGATAGCAAAAATGAACATTTTTTTTACAACATGAATAAACAAAAAGAAATTTATATCAGCCTATCTTGAAATAAAATAGAAACTTCTTAACTGACAGCCACCTGACTGACTAACCAGGTTATCCATGATGTTCACCGTTCTCTGGAAGCACGCTGACAGGTGGCCATAGCATGCTGAATCCTGGGGCTAGTTAGCCACTCTGGAATATCTACCCGTGGTTGCCCATGTTAAGTAAGATAGAGCTTACTAAGAATCGGGTCTTTTCTCCCAAACCTTTTGTTCCCAGTTATCCTTGGTTTTGTATTATGTAAATCAACAGAATGATACATAAACTGATGAAATATGTTAAAATATGTTAAAAGAAATATGTTAAAAGAAAGAGTTGCTTTCTAAAAAAAAACTATGCTTAATGAGTTGAAAGCCTAGATGTAGGCCAATAGCAAAAAAAAACTGTCAACTTAGATGTGAGCAACTATAAAAGACTGGAAGAAAGCTGTAAAACTCTAGAGAATTATCCAATCAAGCTGCTTTACAAATACCTTAGGTCTTTAGGTTCTAGCAGTATTGTTTTAAAAAAATTATAAATCTTATATGCCATATTATAGATATGATTTTTGTAAAAACAAGCAAAAACCCTCGGAATTCCAATCAGAAGATCCATACCCAAAACAAAGATCACAGCCCTACATCAAAATTGATAAATAAATGAACATACATCTTAAGTTAAAATAACATGTCTTACATATGTATGTGTCATTTTTACGCCTAAAAGAACTTTTTCAATTTAACCCATGAGTTCCAGTTCTGATCGTGTTTGACATGAGGGCCTTGGTTGTATTTGAAAGGCTGCCTTATAGAAGAGAGGTGAGGCTTCTTTTGTAAACCTTATATAGGATTTGGAGTAATAGGTCAAATTTCTAACCTGGTGTTTCTCAAAGTATAATCCATGGACCACCAATATCCAAACCATCTTGGGTATTTGCTTTAAGTACAGATTCTAATCACACCCTAATACTTCCTAACTTATTTTCTCTGAGAAGGATCTGCAGTTTAACATGCCCCTGAGGAGATTCCAATGCATACTATGGTGGAGAACAGTGGTCTAATATAAAGGAACAGTTGGGTTTAATATAAAGGAACAGTTGCTCACAACAGTGCCCCAGGTGGTAATATTATGGAAATGTTCAAGCAGAGGCTGAATGATAGTTGGCCAGAATTTCTACAGACGGGTCCAGAATTTGGTGGGAGGTTGAATTTTGTGTGATTCATGCTTGAGTTGGAGACTTTTTTCCTCTTTTTTTTTTTTTCCATTGGAATCACTAATTTTTAGTTGAGAATCAAACTTTTTAAACTAGTTGTTTTCTTAGCTTTCTTAGATTCTTTGCAAAGTTCCCCCAAAATTACTTAAGAGGATTACTTAGCAAGTAATTAAGTTTACACACAAGTTACAACAAATGGTAATCTAAAAGATAATTTGAGTCTTTCCATGCATTCTCTTCTCACAGTTGCTGAACCAGGCAGCAGAGTGGAAACTTCAGGCCAAAGTGCTGAAGGAACAAGAGACAGTCCTGCAGGCTCAGGTGAAGTAGGGGGACAACAATGCATGGGTGTGCCCTCCTTGCTGTGAACCAAAGGTAGTCTGCAAGAGGCCTTCCATGTGGGAGGGGAAATAGGGACAGGAGTTGGAAATGAAGAATAACTTCATATTTATTATTTTTAAGTAAAAATAAAAGTACAATGTTATATCTAAGAAAAATAAATGCTCTGCACCAACAACTTCTAGTCAAAAGGTCTGCTGACATATCAATACAAATGAGGGACAACCAGAATAAGCTGGTGGCCAGGTCCTGGCCTACCTGTTCATATGTCCTCTCTCTCCTCCCCCATTAACCTGTCAAGGTAAGGGTAAAATGTAACTGTCCAGATGCACCATCTATAATTGTCAGTACAGAAAATTTCCTTACTTGTTTGACATTATTTATAATAAAAGGAAATTAGAAAAATAGAGTCAGCACCCACGTTTTTGTGCTATCAGAGGTTGGCCTTGTCAGTGTCACACGATTAAAGATGGCAGACATCAGAAACCATTTTGATTTGGCTTCGTGATGTTATATGTATGTTTTGATTAGACTATGGGAATTCGTATTTCAGGCTCAAAAATAAAGCCTCATGCAACAGCTGGCTCTGGAGGAAAGCCAGACCTATCCATCTTTCTGGTGCCCTTGGGGCTCTGCCCCTGCTGGCAAACGCTCCCTGTTAGGTTCCAGGAGAGCCATCCTGCCACAGGCCGGGCCACAAAGGGGCTCTAGCTCCCCTGCTGGGAGAAATGCCCAAGTGCTAAAGGGACTATAAAATCTCACAGAGCAAATTCACAGAAAGCGAGAAAATCAGAAGCCTTCCAAACTGGGCAGCATTAATTTAAGATTTGAATAATTCACTTGTAAATGTTTATGTGCTGACTGCTGAATATTTGTTCATTGTGAAAAAAATTCTTCACTGTATGAATGAACAAGTTCAATGAACACGTGTTCATTTTTTTAAAAGGAAAGTAGGAAAAACAAGAAACTTAAAATCACAAATTATACCACTACACAGACAAAAACAAAATAACATTTTGATATCTAACCTTCCTAAAGCACACCTTTCCAATGTGTGTACAAAACCCAATGATGAATTGTTTCCCCCACTAGTAGATCAAAATAGTTTAAAAATATTAATTACATAGAAATACGAACCGTAATTTTTTTTCACTATTAATAGAATCGAAGGACTAAACTCTAAAGTTACAAACTCAAGGTGATCCTTTAGGCAGTCACGGAACACATCATATCATGTTGTGGGGTGGGTGGCAGGCAGTGGCAGTTTTCTAACCAGAGGCAGGCAGGGGGGAAAGGAGGTGTGACCTCACTGTCCAGTGGTAGGGGGCTGCTGGGGGGAGAGTCCAGAGAAGCAAGTCAGGGCTTCTGGCTCTATGCCTGTCCCATTCACAGCACAGAGCCTTGAGGGGTACAACAGGCAGTACTTGAAGCTATTCAGTGTTCCATCTGTTATAAGCAATCTCTACTCCTCTATGTTAAATGAAGAACAGATTAATACCATTAGACTCTGGGCTAGAGAGTGACTCATTTGGCTGGTATCAGAATCTAGGTCTTTAATAACCTGTGAAATAACATAAAGGTGTGATCCAATTTCCCACGTATACCCACCCAAGTTTGAAAAAGTATGACCCAGGGTTCTAGACTTGCCAGTGTTCCTCGTTCATCCCTCAATACTGGGTCGAACCCAGGGACCAGGGTCAGAGTCCTGGCTCTTCTACTGTGAAGCTGTCTGATCCTGTGCAGCTCACCTAAACCTCCCTGGACCTAAATTTCCTGGTCTGTAAAATAAAGATGTTGTAATGGATCAATGATCCCAAGCTGGAGTCCTCTGACCTCTGGGAGGCCCATTACTTTTCAGTATTTCCAAAACCTAACAGCACATTAGGCAGCAGCTACTATCTAAAATGTAGTTGTTTCTGACATTATATCAGCTTTTGCTTAGCAGCATGGATGGCAGTTATTCATATGTTTGATTAAGTTTATAGAAGGAAAATGAGTTAATTAACATGTAGTATATGCAGTTTGTTTTCAATTTATGCACTCAAAACACTTAGCTCAGGGCTTCCCTGGTGGCACAGTGGTTAAGAATCCGCCTGCCAATGCAGGGGACACGGGTTCGAGCCCTGGTCTGGGAAGATCCCACATGCCACGGAGCAACTAAGCCCGTGCACCACAACTACTGAGCCTGCACTCTAGAGCCCACGAGCCACAACTACTGAGCCCGTGCACTGTAACTACTGAAGCTCGCGCCTAGAGCCTGTGCTCTGCAACAAGAGAAGCCACTGCAATGAGAAGCCCGTGCATCGCAACAGAGTATCCCCCGCTCGCCACAACTAGAGAAAGCCTGCTCATAGCAACAAAGACCCAACACAGCCAAAAATAAAAATAAATAAACTAATTAAAAAACAAGAGTAGACACATTCAACAATTAAAAAAAAAAACACTTAGTGCCTGCCCCCATAGTAAGCATAATTAATTCAACTAATATTTATTGAGCATCTAAGTGCTAGGCATGGTTCTAGATGTTAGAAATATAGTACTTAATAAGAGAATCAAAAATCCCTGCCTAATTAAACTCACAATCTAGTGATAAATATTAATTAAAATGCTAACAACTGATTAGTGTATGCGCTAACATTAGTATTATTTCATAGGTAAGGATCCACATAGTGATATATGAGACAAAAGAAGTCTTTATTTGAAAAAAAGTTTAAGAACCACTGGAAAAGATGATCTCAAAACCATGTTCAGCTCTAGTTTATGAATGTAGAGAATATCCAGAGCTGAAGAACTCAGCTAAACTAGATAACCCTGCCTCCTCCATCACCTTTCTTTCCATGGCACGTGGCTCTCTCTGTAAGGACCCTCCCTTGTCTATCTCTTTTGTCTTCAAGGCATTTTCAGAACTGCAATAATTACTTAATCATCACGAAGAATACAGAGGCCCCAAATCCCTATGTGTAATAATGTTTAAATGAGCTCCTCTTGAAAAATATCAGCATTATATTTTTTAAATGTTTAAACCTTGAAAAACAAAGTCTATCACAGATGATCTTGCAAGGCACTCAAACACTTCCTCTGGTTTGACAATTAAAGGAGTCGGATGGGGCTTCCTTGGTGGCGCAGTGGTTGAGAGTCCGCCTGCCGATGCAGGGGACACGGGTTCATGCCCCGGTCCGGCAGGATCCCACATGCCGCGGAGCGGCTGGGCCC